TGAGGGGGAAATGGGATAGCCGCTATCGTGTGTTCCTTGCAGGTCTCCAGTTGTTTTGTTCTAACAACCACCTTGTAAAGTAGGTTAGGCTGAGAGAGAATGACTGGCCTGAGCTGGTCCAGTGAGCTTTCATGGCACAGTGAGGACTTGAGCCAGGATCTTCCAGATATTAGTCAGACACTCTAATTACTACACCAAGTTAGTGTCAATGTAGATTTCAGTATGCAACCTCAGCAAAGAACAGCACCTTCAGTCTAATGTAAAACCATTAATCTGATCTCATCTACATTTCAGAGTAATTTCAAGTAATCCTAAATCCCACATTCCTCAAGTCAACCCCTTTGACCACCATCACGAGAGCAGGATCAACCTAGAAAATGCCCAGCATTCTCATGGCTATGGTAGCTAGAACAGTGACCTCCAACATGATGCCCACCAAAGTGTTTCCTAGCATCCACTTGTTTCTTCCCCATAATGCCTCTTCATCAAAGCAAATACCCAATCCTTGCTTTCCTCCAGAAAAGAATAATTGTTCTATGGCAAGCTCTTATTAGAATTCCTGGAGTCTGTGGTTGCTGTTTAATCACCTAATTTAATCATCATGTGAAAGGACCAGAAACTGACAGATTTGATTAGTTATTTTAGGTCTAGAATAAGTCTCGATTAAGACTTTGCATAGGAAACTATTAAAAAGTTGGATTAGTTCTGAGGAGGCCTGAGTTCAACTCCACACTCACTGAAACTCTCAGTGGATGACCTTGAACTGCATACTTTGTCCTGATCTTCTTAGAGGAAGGGCTGGGTAAAATGTAGAAAGCAGAGAGCCACAAGCACTCCATTGTGTATCTGAACCTGTTCCTCAGCCTGAGACTGTAGCAACTAACAGCATCACCATTAGGTATCAATTTTACAGATTACCTGAAAGGGGAGACCTCATGGTGGGTGTTGCCTTGAACTTGATAACACAAGCTCTGCAGATGTAGGATCCACTTGTTTTAGTACACTGTCTCTCACTGAGCTATCTTTTCCAGTATAAAGAGCTTTCATAAAGGTTTCCCTAACAGTCTCTCCCATAAATTAAGCAGATGTTCCCTGAACTAGAATAAGAGGACATCACTGCTCCAGAATCCAATAAGAGGAACTTCCTAGCCAGGAAGTCTGCAAAAATTGCACAACCAATAAATCTAGCAGACTCCAGGACTTGATCTGCCACGTATGCTGCTGCCACAGAGATTTTGTTGATGTCTCATCAGATCTTTTTACTGTCCTGAAACTGAACTCTAAGATCAGCTCTAAGTCAATGGTGTCCTTCTTTTCCCCTTGCACATTAACAGGATAGCACAGGAAGGGAAGTTTTCATGGAGAGAAGGAATAGCCCTTTTCTCTGTAGGGTCCCAAGCTAGATCAGGGCAGAGTGCACCTGAAATTTATGTTCAAGAGATGCTTGGAGATCTTGTCTGATAGGCCAGTAGCACATCTGAGGAATGTATCATGTCCCCTTTTTAGATCATATTTTGTCTTCTTTCATAACTTCCACATGAAAACGTTTTGCAGTACTTCTTTTTATACACAATTTCCTACGATACACTCTGGTGGACACCAGCTCTATTTTTATCGAAGGCCTGTCTATCATCAAATCTCCAGTTCTGGAGCATTTCCCGCCTTGTAACTGAAATTATATTTCAGATAGGTTTGAGTGTAACAATTATTTTCTGACAATCTCTCTAAGCTGTGCACTGAAGAAATGAATACTATTTATCTTAACTGAAGATAAATGGATTGGTACTAATGGATTTTAGCCAGCTCGCACTCTCTCAAATCGACATACAGCCCACATTTTTCAAAATAACGCTTATCTATTGACAGACACATAAAGCAAATACAACAGACCAAAAATGAGTGAGGGCATCAAACTTTGGAAAAAGGGATGAGGTATGACACAAAATGTATGTATCTTCCTCCTCAGGTCAATCCAGAATCCAGGCTGCTGACAGTTCAGATAGAGTGAAAACAGAAACAAATATTATTGAACAAAGAAAGATAGGCTGGCCCAGTGTCACACAGCAATTTTTATGGCAGAGGAAGAATCTGAACTCAGACCTCCTAGCTTCTAGTCCAATACTTTAACCACTACACCTACTATCATTATATCATATGGTAGCAATAGATAGTTTGCAATTTTTCTCTTATAAAATTAAGGTCTTTTCATTACCATGATCAGGGGTCATTTCCTGCAGGAGTGCACAGGAGCAGAGCTCCAGCAGTAAAGAGCCTAGGGGGCGGGCACATTCAACAAGCCCCACCCCCGCTCCCAGTAGCCCTCCGTCAGAGCAAGAAGCAGCCAGGTAAGTTGCAGAGCCCCCCCCCGGCCCCCCACTCCAAAACAGTCCAGTGGCACCTTTAAGACCAAGTTTTATTCAGGTACAAGCTCTCCCTCCTCTGCGAGGACAGATCTGCACGTCTCCCTCCCCCCCCCAATAGCTAGCTATCCAAAACAATCCGGTGGAGCCTGAGCGGTGGGTGTTGCATTCTGACACACTTCCGGTGATGTCAGGGGGTGTGGCATATGCAAATGAGTTATGCTAATGAGCTCCTGCACCTCTTTTTCTACTAAATGACCCCTGACCATGATGCACCCTC